AATGTTTAATGAAAAATGGCTAACTATGACAGAGCACAAAATTTGGCTTACTACCAAAATGAACAAAAAACAAAAAGAAGTAGCTTACTGTAAGGTCTGCAGTTATKTTTCGAGTCCCCAAAAAGCATGTAAAAATTGTATAATATACTTATACACTACCTAGTCTAGGTTATACTCGTATACGATAATCGTGTATAGTAATTTGTTGCTTAGACATTTAGTACATTAATATTTTAATATGCATATTCTAGTATATGTTTCAATGTTTGTAATAGAAGCGTAATACATCTTAAATTGTAATATTATGTATTTTTGTTTAATATAAATTGTTAAAAATATGGTTTACTTGCGAGTGAAGCGAGCGCGTTATATTTCTAATGTGGTATTTGTGGTGGTAAAATTGATGAGGTAAAGTGATAATTGTGGTAATTTTCTTATCATTAAATGGTAATATGACATTTTGAATTCGGCAACACKGAAACATTTATTTCTATTTTTCCCATTATTACATAAATGTTGTAACCTTGTAAAAGAATAGGCAGTAGGGGATAATAATATCAACAACATAAAATTGAAATCACTGTTATTATTTTTAATTAGCAGTCTGGTATTGCTGCTGTTATTTCTTACCAGTCACTACCACTAGTTGAAACTAAATTGCCTAATTATTAGAATTCTATTGATTGAAATTTATTATTTAGAATGTTTTACAAGTTACAGCAACAATTTTATTAAATTCTATATTACTAGTTGTTACTACCGAGGGAAACACCAGAGCAATCGAATGATATAGTGGATAAAAAAGTATTTGCCGTAATGTGGCAACGGCAATATCATTGATTATCTTTAAAAAGTATAAAAACACCTGAAAAAATTGTTATGGCTTTTTATGATATTTAGTGGTGTAAAAAAAAAAAAATAACGTGAAAATCAAATTATTTACAACCGTGGTGAAATCCAAATGACCTGTGACCATTGTTGTTTGAAGTAGTGGCGGCTATCCTTAAAAATATAGGTGTAGTGAAACATAAGAAATAA